AGGAAAGTTAGCTGCTAAGCCGCGTAGTACCCCAATGATACCTAATTTACAACTTACAAAGGAAGGGGAGTTGTTGAAAGATCCTGAGAAGTATAGGAGATTAGTAGGGAAGTTGAATTATCTTACGGTTACGAGGCCAGACATAGCTTATCCAGTTAGTATTATGAGTCAATTTATGAGTTCTCCTACGACGACCATTGGATCGCATTGGAACATATTTTATGTTATTTGAAAGGTGCTATTGGACGTGGTTTGTTATATAAAGATCATGGTCATCTTAATATTGAATGTTTTTCAGATGCTGATTGGGCAGGTTCTAAGGAAGATAGAAGATCAACCTCGGGATATTGTGTATTTGTCGGAGGTAATTTAGTTTCTTGGAAAAGTAAGAAACAAAACGTGGTGTCGCGTTCCAGTGCTGAATCAGAATATAGAGCTATGGCACAGTCGGTGTGTGAATTAGTATGGATACATCAGCTTCTGACTGAATTGGGATTTGGCATCACCACTCCAATGAAACTTTGGTGTGATAATCAAGCAGCTCTTCATATTGCATCTAATCCAGTATTTCATGAACGAACCAAACACATTGAAGTTGATTGTCATTATGTACGTGAGAAAATACAACAAGGATTGGTGGCTACAGGGTATGTGAAGACTGGAGAGCAGCTAGGAGATATCTTTACTAAAGCATTGAATGGAGCACGAATAGATTATTTGTCTAACAAGTTGGGCATGATTAACATATATGCACCAACTTGAGGGGGAGTGTTAGAGTATATATTAGTATATTTTATATTCTTGTATTAATATTAATTTGTCATTTACCTTCTCCTTATAGGATTAGGTCAACCTTGTATATTTGTCTATATATATAGACTTTAATAATGAGAATACTGAACATTGGATTCTCTCCAACCTTAGTCTCTACAATAAAGATACCTAGAATTAATGTGTAATAGAGCCTCTGGTTGATAGGTTCCTCCATTCCAAACAATGGTGATGGCAGTTAAAAGAGATCGAAGAAGCAGTTCGATACGTTGAGCATGAGAAAGCAATTAATCTTACACCATTTCCAAGAAGGTGAGAGACTGACGACTCTAATCATCTTTACTTTTTTTTCCCTTACAATGATTTGAGTCTCTAGATTCTTCATACCCAAACTTGAAACTTTCATGCTTGGCTCTTGAATTATAATCAATTTTCTAATTCAGTTCCTAAATTTTTCAAACCTTAACTTTAGACTCCAAAGTCTCTACCACCAGTCTTATTTATGAGTTACTAGGTGCCTTTTTAATTTTCTATTTTTAAAAATTATACTTGTTTTTTACAATTTCATTAGTAAGTTTTTTCACTTTTCTTGAAAGCATATTTGAATTTTGAGCTAAATTTCAAACAAAAAATTACTTTTTTAAAATTACTTTTTTTCTTTTCAAAATTTGGCCTAGCTTTTAAAATGGTGATAAAAACTATATAACAAAACAAAGGAATACATAGGTGAAACTTGGAAAGTAATGTTCCTATCTTTACTTTTAAAAACAGAAAATAAAAAATGAAATAGTTATTGAATGGCAGTGGCAATGTGGCATCATATTTAGATCAACATATTTAAGGCACCAAAAAAAATATGGGGTTTGATGTGAGTTGAATGAGGCTTAAAAGCATAAAAGACCGAAATACGAGAAAAAAAATACTTACCAAGTCACGCTTAAGCATTTCCCTTTCTTGAGTGGTTACCATCCTCTCCTGTTTCAGCCTCATAATGGTAGCTTCAGCCTGCATATGTTTCATAGATTCTTATTAGTAGCTGAAAAATCAGATATATCTAGTTAGAACTTACAAACATGAATACTGGGGCGTTAGAAATCCTTGCTCTTCAAATATATGCAGTGCTAATAAGAGGACCTATAGTTTTTTTTTTTCCTCTCTTTCTTTCTTTCTTTCTAACGATGAGGTAATTAGTATAAAAAGAATACCTAAGTGAGGATATAGAGTAATCGTATCGAATTAGATACCGAAGGTGGACATGTCCTTTTTTTTCTTTAATGAAAAACTGAGCTCTTATTCATTGAGAAAAATGAAACAATACAACAAGAGAAATAAAAAGATAGTCCAACAAAAGAGCAAACTCAAAGCTAACTATAAGTCCATTAGTTTGTTGTCCTTCCGTCCAAAACCATGCATGAGAATGAGGCTGAGCAAGGTAGGGAACTTTGTTAAAAGAGGCAATAAGGGAAAGGTGGATGTGAGTAATCGCTGAGAAGTTAAATTGCTTAGCGCCAGATCCTCATGAATCTCAAAATCCTGAGTAGTTGGGTTGAATCCAGATTCCTTAAATACTATCACTATTTTCTGCCTCCGTGAACTGAGAACTCATCGCAGTAGAGACGTAGTTAGCGACAAAAGAAAACAAACATTGCAACACCTATACATTTAAAGACCAAGGATGTCTCCAGAAATTTTACTCATGAGCCAGAAACTTATCCAATCAATCAAACGTAACTTGCCATTGACACGGCTAATTTTCCTTATTTGTAGAGAAAAGAATCATAAATACTACTTGATATTTGATAATCTAACTTCAAGAGAAAAGGCCTACCTCTAGTAGTTCTGCATCCATGATAATTAACTTTGATTTCAGTTCTTCAAAGTCTTTAGTTAAGTTCAACTCTGGCACATCCTTCACTGGTTTCAATTCCTCAGTTTCCCTGTCTGGTGTTGTTTCAATATTGTCAATTGGTTCCGCTACCACACCCTCATTTTGTTCCATTGCAACATCCTCGGCTGCTCTGTTCTCATCTGAATCTCTACAAGCATCAACTTTCTCAACTCCCTCAGCAACCTGGTACATCATAGTTCAAACACACAAGGAACATATTCAATCATATTTTGAAAACAGGTAAACCATTCAGAAGAAATCCAAGTGTCTCATAATTGCAGGGATTTAAACCTTATGTAGCTTTCCATGCAATATTAAGCCACAAGCACGAGGATTCTAAACATACAACAAAGATAAATGGGCATATACTTCATGAGAAATCCCTTTAAAATTGAAAACTAGAGAGAGACCCTGACAAGAATATAAATATAAGCATATATGACAAGACAGAGCTGCTTTCATGGCCATACCTTATAAGGTGGAGATAACTGTACAGGGTCAACTGGTCTAAGTTCAACTATGTGTTCACAGGTATCAAGTCCATTGGCATCTTTTGCAACCTAGAATATATCAATTTCCAATCAAGGGATACATTCCGAAGCCGAGGCAAAGTTCAACCACAATACAATCATGTCTTCCATCAGAAGAAAAAAATGCATAATAACAATAAATATACCTATAGCTTAATTGAAAAACCATTTTACATACACATTTTAAAATATCCTCAAAATTTGAAACTTGAAGCGACCCACCAATCAGACTTAATAAGTGGAGACTAACGGGAGAGAGAAATAAAGAAGAGACTTCTAGCAAAGTACAACATAAACACATGAAAGGTGCACAGTTACTCTTACCTCATTAGGAGGTATGTTTTCAACTCCATTCTGCATTCTATCTTTTGGCATGGAGATTTCATGACTTGAATCTTGTTTCAACTCTCCGTTAATTGGTAACAAAACCGGAGGTGGTGTTGCACTTACTAGAAAAACCTTCAGCTTCTTCTCTTCAATGTGCTTGCTGCTATCCTTTGCAAACTGCCTTGCAGAACAAAATCTTAGAAGAAGGCATGTAAAAACAAGCAACAACTACAAATTCTCACCACGTCAGATGTGATGTCCTCTTCAGATGTTCCAGGGAGGATGACCGTGCCTTGGACCAGGAACTTGTCCTTACATTGCATATCAGGTGGGGCTGCACGCTGAGCTAGCATGGTGACTGCATAGATCCAAAAGTGAAGACAGGTAATCCATCCGAGTCAATATCAGAGCATAAATACAACAAAATATAAAAATAATAATAAAAAAACCTTAAAAAACAGAGGTTTTTAAAGTTTGCATTTAAAGTTTGGAGTATACAAAGTAGTAGATAATTATGTCTAACTCCATCTTAACACCACCAACATTTTAAAAGAATGACAGGAAGAGATACCTGTGAAATCACACGTATCTTTGGGCTTAATGATGCCAGTATTGGGTCGCACACAGTACTTCTTGGGAGATGTAGTTTTTACCTGCCGAACCAATTTTGTATATTAAACACAGCTATGCAGCAAAACAAGGCTTTAAGATTCTTTTCAATTTTGGATTCTATTTGAGAAAATAGAAATTTAATAATAGAACTATATAAATTATAATAAACATAACACTGAAAATGTAGGGTTGGCAGAAAAAAAAATCGTGAGATTCGTTTGGAATACTGCACCTTGAAAGCAATAAATTGATCAGACTTATTGATAAGATGTATCAAGCATGAACTTTGCTTCTTCAACTCAACTGGAGAAAGAGAGGGAGCAAAACTTGTCAAAATAGCACTGCAGGAAATGAGTGCATAGACCATAACATTCTTCTATCCTTTTTTATTTGCACAACCTACATGCAGATACAGCCAGAGATGGACTTGCAATCCTTTTAAATCTAGAAAATTTGATTATTTAATCCAGCTAATAAATCTTATTGAACATTTTAACTTTCACATTTTAACTTTCACAGGCTCGAGAAATAAACTCCTATTAGCTAAATAATGCAAAAGATTTCATCTAGTTTCTTCTTATTATAATTTATAAGTTAGCACGTATAAGCTACAACTTAGTCTAATCTAGGCATAACAATATTTTACTTCGTGATTTAAGCCCTACCATCGTCTAAAACAATTTGAAGCAGTAAAAGTAGATGCACAAGTCAAATTCTGCACCGGTCTCAGTGACATCTTGCCTGACAGCATACAATTGGATGCCCACCATGCATTTAAACAAAACGTAAAAGGGAAGACAAAAATCAATAAGAAGAAAAACTCTTCAGCTTACAAGTAAATTTGAGTTCGCCTGGTTGAATTTTGAAAAGCTCCATAGTCATGGCTCTATCCACTTAACAAACGATCAATTTCTAAAAATGCCATTGCAGAAAAGCTTGAGTCATCAGAGGTTAGTAGTTGAAGTAAACCAAGAAGCGGAAGTTTCATAAGAATAATGAAAATTAGATACAGTAACAGACTCCATTGATCTACTAATCCAGAAAAGGCAAAGCAGAACACTCTAATGCAAGTAATCAAAATACAATGAGATCAGACAAACAAAACAACTCAAATGGGACTCGAGAGTGCTGAAAAACCCGTAATCTAGCATGAACTTAACAAATTGGAATGGTTAAAGCTGCAAAACTCAAAGATACAGATAAGGTACAAAGTAATCCCAACAAAGCCACGAGTTCGAACAAACTTCACCAAACTCAAACGTAATCATCCGCCGAAACTTCACCAAACTCTAACAATAACCGTACCCCATTCCTCAGCAAAACTGGCCAAACACGTCAAGCAAGCAAGATACACAAAACATATCGACAAACATACACGAAATTGAAACGGAAAAACCAGCGGGATCTGAAGAAAACACCAAGACTCCGATCACAGAAAACAGATTAAGAAAATGAAGTGTACAGTACAGTACCAAGCTCCACTTGAAGCGATTGAACTCGAACTTGGAGGCGCGAGTATGGAGAATTTGTTGTAGAGATCTAAGCTCAGAGGCGGAAGAGAGAAGAATGAACGGAAATTGAAGCAGAGGATGAGGAGAAGTTAAAGCTTGAAGGCGAAAATGGAGAAAATCTTTTGGGCTTCAGGAATGTTAACGATGCCTACGCGGGTCACTGTCGGCTTGCTCCGGGCCGCTCATTTTTTCAAAAAAATTAGCTCGGCTCGGCTCGGTTTTGAGCCGTTAATATGAATTTGAACTCATGTTGAACCAATTTTCTTATTTCTTAACTCACCCTTTTTTTGCTTCTGACGTGTACCAAGGAATGCAGATTTTCAAGGGATTTTAAATGAATTTCGTTTTAAATAATTAAGGCTCTCTTTGATAACCTTGATTTTTGGTTTTTAAACACGATTGTTGATAATTAATTGAATTTTTTTGTAGGTATGTGTTTTTCAAAATCTTCCCTTTTAATACTCAACTTTTTTATTTTTCATATTTTTTCTCATTCTAAAATTATTTTTATTTCTAAATTTCTCTCTACAAACTTTTTTCTCTCTTTAAAATTTTCATATTTTGAATGTTTTTTATTATTTGTCTTTCTCCAAATTTTTCTGTATTTTTTTCATAACTGGTCAATTTCATTTTTCCTTAAAAATTTAATATTTTTCCTAACTTTTTTCTTTCTAAAATTTCATCTGTTATAAATTTTATTTCTCTTCATAATCTATTTTTTCCTCTAAAAATTGTATTTTATTTTCTCATTCAATTAGTAACTTTTATTTATCTTTGTATTTATTTATTTTCTCTAAAAATTTTATTTTGAATTTTGTTATTATTTCTAAATTTATTTCCACTATCATTTTTTTCTTTCTTTATAATTTTTTTCTTTAACATATTTTTTCACTCTCGACTTTATTTGTTTTCTGTACAATTTTTCTCTTTAACTTTTCTTTCACTATTTTTTTTTTAAAATCTTTTTATTTATCTCTCTAAAATTTATCTTCCAAAAGTTTATTTACATCTCTCTAAATTTCATGTCTCTACATTAGGGGAAAACAAAATTTTATTACACTTTTTTATACTTAAATTCTAAAAATAATTAAAAACAATTATAAAACCGATAATTTTTCTCGAGAACATCTCTCGGACTCAAGAACGAAAAATTTTCACTAAAAAGGTTATCGAACATGTTTTGTTTTCTGCTTTTTAAAAATAAAAAACAAAAATGGTTATCAAATGGTTATGAAACGGGTCCTAAAATTTTGCTTCATTTCAAATGGCATTTTCACCTAACAAAATTCTTCATCAAAATAGTTAAATTTTGCAAGATTTCCTAGAATTTTAAAGCTATTTAACCTTGTCATATTTTAATTTCTAACTAAAAAATTTATATTAAAAACCTAAATTGGTAAGTTTTTTGTTTTTTTTTTCCTTTTCAGCCAACATTCAAACAAAAAATCTAATTATACCCAGTTCAAATCATTCCAGATAAAGATTTTAAAATAATTTTTTGAATTTCAAATCAGAAAATTTTAAATTATTTCTGGAAAAACAAATCGTTAATTATTTGATTTTGAGATAGAAGTTGATAAGTATTCTTATTTTAGAAAAAGTTTGAGGTTAACTTTGTCATTTTTTCCTATATTTGTGAGGATATATTCTATAAAATCTACTAATAAAGATATGGTTTTAAAAAATCTATATTAGGATTGAATCTAATACTACTATTTATATTCAGTTAGATCGTTGTTTCAAAATATATATTCAATTGGATCATTACTTTTTTTTTTTTAAAGGGATGTCACTTAACCCATTGTTTCACTCAACAAAACTCTCATTAGTATTAATTTTTAATTTTTGCTACATAATTTAGAGTAAATTACAAAAACAACCCATTAACTAAAATGGTTACTTAAATATCACAGAATGCATGAACTAGGTTTAAATCATAAATTTGTTACAATTATAAAATTATTACCATTCAACCCATTATTTCATTTATTTATAAAATTTAAAAATAGAATTTAACCATTAAAAAATGTTATAGTTTTGACCTAGCGAGCATATATCTAACGGTTGTATATCTCTAACCAATAAATCATGAACTCAAAATCCCACTTTATGTATTGCACTTAAAAAAATATTATAATTTTTAGATGAATGGAATTAGCGTTTGGAAAATGTTCCCCAAGCCAATTTGGTTTTGGCTAAGGGAGCTGAGGCTGAAATTTGAACAGCAAAATGATGCAGTTTGAATTTGAAATAAAATAAACACACTTTACATTCATTATTCACCGAAAGAAAGAGAAGACTTTGGTGTCCAAAAAAAGTATGCCTTTTGCTGTGGGGTTGGACTTGCATTCTAGGTTTATATGAGATGTTTCTCGTCTTTCCTCCGATTATTTTATATCTTGTTAAGAGTGATGTATTATTCTCGTGCTACTATTTAGTGAGATAATTCTAACATAGCTCCCGATCATTGATAGGACTGCTTGATATTTATTTTCTTAAATGAGTTATTATGTATTGTCTTGTTTATGAGGTATGTATTTTAGTTGCTTTGTTAACCCTTTTCTTTTTATTATTTGTATTTTGTCTTATAGATAGGTCTCTTTATTTCTTATCTCAAGTTGCAAGATCCATCTTTTTCTTTGCAATATATTCATAAAATCTTTGGAAGAAGGAAAAAAAAAACTTAGATTCCAAGGTCAATTTGTAGATGTCCACTCTTAAGATCCACTTTTGCAATTTGTCCTTTTATTTTCTTTTTAATAAATAAAGGAAGAAGATTTTTAATTAAAAGAAAAGCACAAGAACTTGACATGAAGGTGATCTTAAAAACTTGTAAAATAGTATCTTAGAATTTGAAGTAAATATTCCAAAATTCCTTACCACTTACTCCAATAAATTATCCATATATTTTTGTTTAATATCCTGAAACATAGGTACTTCCATTCCATCATCCATATAATCAAATGCATAGAAGATGATGGTTTGATTTTAATTCGATGAGATTTGAAGAAGAAAGTTGATAAAAAAAAGAAGTGATAAAAAGTGGTAAAAATGGAATAGTATCTCATTCTTGTATGTGTTGGTTTTAGAGAATCTTGTCTTCCAATGGGACCCTATTGGTTTGGATTTTATGAAGTGGGGAAATGGAATCACAACTTAACATTACAACATGCTCTAACAATGCCAAATCCCTCATTCCACTTGTGGAGCCACAGCCATAAAACTGAACCAACAAACCCTAACTTTACTATTGTTTTTGCCTTTTTTTCCCATAAGATAAAAAGTAGGGAGTTATATATTGTAGAGATGCCACACAAAATCAAGTCCAAGTAATAGAATTTAGTCAGCTTGATTGGTTTGAACTATTTATAGTCGATCAATTTAAATAGATTTATCCATTCCAATCCATTGAATTTCAGTACTAATTTTTGTTGGACGAAGAGAAAAAGGGAAGAAGAATTTAGTCAGTTTTTTGAACTATTTATCATCCTTGTGTTGAAGGTTTAGTTTGGTGTGCTTGTCTCTCTCTGTATACATTTGTCATACAAAGAGAAATAATAGAAACGGTATTATACGTTGAAGTTCAAATATTGGTAGTAGTATCTTTGATTTTTTTTTTATTACAACATTTGAGGGTTGAGGATCGAACACACAATCTCTTTGTTAAAGGTATATGTCAATTACCGCTGAACTATGCTCGCTTTGACTGATAGAAGTATCTTTGATTTTGCTTGTGCTGATTTAGATTTTGTTAAAAAAAATGTTGTTTTGTACAAGTTGTGTTGTTAGTAGGAAGACTACACAATCTAATGTGACATTAATTGCTATCAAGACACCTTTAGACTTTAACATATAATTTCATGGTTAAGATAACTACTTCTCTCAAGAATCGTAGGTTCAAATTTCCACTCCCATGCAAATCCAAGAATAACTCAGTACATAAGACACTAGTTGAGATAGGTGTGTTACATTTTATCATGTGACACCAAAAATAGTAAAAGAGGCAACTTGGACTAGAAGCTTAGGATCTGTTTGATAACATTCTCGTTTCCAATTTTCTTAAGAAATATAAGAATTTTGCTACTAACTAGGGCTCGTTTAGTAACGTTTTCTCGTTTCCAATTTTCTTGAAAAATCTAAGCATTTTACAACTAACCATGTTTCTTGTTTCTCCATTTTTAGAAACATTCTCAAAATTGTATATAAAATTTGGTAACAAGCAAAATAAGTTTTTTCTTTCTTGTTCCCATTTCCAGATTTGTTCCACAACATAAATAAAAATATTGTTTTATCATACTTAAATTCATGGATGTTGGAACCATGCAATTCATTTTTCTTCATTAAAAATTAAGAAACAGAAACGTTATCAAACCAACTCTTAATTACTAATTTGAGACAAAATTTGATAGTTATGTTTAGCCTCAACGACCAAAATATGTTACATTATACCATTAATCAAATGTGTTACAAAATAATTATAGAGAGAGGTGAGATATCACTTAATTACTTAATTGGGATTGTATTTCAAATGTGTGAAATACAAACAATCCAACTAATATGGCAACCAAGCAATCATTTAGACAAATCCAAGTATTGATTGGTTAACACATTTTGAAAAGACAATTGAAGTTACTTTCAAGTCAAACCATAATCACCAAGATGGAAAGTGGTTGTTAGCTGCATCAATCACATATTAAAAAAGCAACACAATTTGTTGGTTTAATAATAATCCACCCTCTTTTGCTAAAAAAAATCCACCCTCAATTTATTCTTACACCCAATTAAGGAGCAAGCAGATTTCAAAGCTCCTTTTATTTTAACTATTTAATTTAGTTCCAAGCATATTCTTTTTTGAGTTAATTATGGTAAATTATCAGACCTATGTGATCACTTTGAGTAAGAAAAAAAGAATGAAAATTTTCTCTCATCTTTGGCTCCCAATTTATTGAATGTAAGTTATTGTGTCCTCCATTGTTTTATAATTGTAGTTAACCTTACTAGACCCTCACTAGCCAAAGTTGCATCTCAACAAAGGCATGTGATATCTATTGTAACACCAATATATTGTATAATCAATTTGAATTAGTTTTAAGATAGAGAAATTTGCAATTGTAATAT